ACCGCAGAAAAGTGGACTGTTTTCTCGATGGCATATTTCCGATCCATTAGTAACGACCTGGAATTGACAGCATGTGAAAATCGCAAATGAACAGAAAACTAAATTTTCACGACTACTCAAGGTGGCCAGATCTACGTATTGCGTCAATTGAATGATTTCCGATACGCCCCTTCTATTTCATTATTTTGAGCACAAACGGGCCTGGAAACTAGAGGTACGTAAGCGGCGCCGTGTACCGCTTGCCGCCAACGCTCCAGTTGCTTGTCGACTATTCGCTCCTGAATCTGGACTGAGACGTGAGCTTACCCCAGTGTTCCACTTCAGAAGCGCTCAAAGGAGGATGCAACGATAAGGTCTGAGGTTGGAGAAAGGAAACGTAGTTAGTGGAAAGGCAAGCAGCACCCCGAGGGTGAAGGGATGATGCGCGTTTCGCTGCAAAAGGTGTGCTCTAGCCGGCCTAACTAAATCACGCTGGTGGCGCCCGCGGCCCCGCAACCTACGAAAGGCCAGTTCCTAGTCGCCCGACTCTAGCGCGTATACTGGCCGCTTTGCAGGACACAGCGCAGAGCGTTCACGTACACGACGTCAGCACCGATGGGACTCACACCCCGCGAAAATTGAAGGGTAGGATAGGGGTCCTATTTCACGCGTATTGAGCCGTTTTTCCTAGATCATCCTGGCACCACTGACCACTTCTATTTTGTTTTCTGATGGCTGCCTCCTGAACTTCCCATGAACTCCACCATTGAAGGGGAATGGTACGATGGTCCTGATGGACATGAAGGGTAGAGTTCGTAAGCGAGCACAAACCCATGAGCGCGGCTGAGGCGTGAGTCGCTTTCGCAGTGAGAGACTGAGCGTAGTCATAGTGGAAGTTCATGACCATCCCTTGAATGGCTTTTCATCACCTCCAGCTCTCTCTGAGCAAGAAAAATTCCAAGATACATGACGAGCTCAGAGAAATTTAATGACGACTTCGAGGCCACTTCCCTTTCCTCCCTTCTGAGAGGAAATAATCGATAAGCTGTTTAGGCTCCGGCAGTGAAGGCAGACGGGTACAATGCACACCTCGATATACTGGCCAATTTTTTTCTTAAATATTCTCGAAAAGAGTAGTGGTGCGCATATCTACCTCACATTCCCATTACATTCACATTCCCTCACCTAATCCACGCCGTGGCTCAGCCTGCGCTCGCCGGCAGCTCTCCCGACTCGAAGGTAGTAAACACGATGGCTGAAGGGCGGAGCGGTTCAAATGACGTCATCAGATCAGACTCTTCGGCACTCGGGGGGGGGTGATACAGACCACTTCTGAACACCCTCCGGCCGATGACCTTCATCAGAGTCATCGAAATCTGCTCCGTCTCCCAGCCATCGTATTGTTTGCCTCTTGAGGGGTTTCGGCTTCATGGGACTTAGGCACCTCTTTTATGGTCTTTCAGTTTCGATGGCCGCAAGTTGGTGAGCCTGATAGCCTTCCCACCGCGGACGGACCCTTTCGAACTCACCTCAAGACATCCGCAGAACGTGTCATCACAGAACTTCCGTCCCAGCTGATCATCGTAGCATTTGTCATGCTTTATGCAGCAACCATTAACATTTTCTGAAATTGTATCGCCTACGATTGGAAATAAAGGCTACCGTATCCAGCGGTAAAATAACTGGTCTCATAGAAAAATGCTCAGCCATGAAACTTACTCTTCAAATGTGGACAATCGAGTTCTATTTGATTCTCGCTGATGTACTTGCTGAAGGCGTCTGTGCCGCATTCCCATTCCTCACCATCATCGTCGTCTTCCATGGATTCAGAAGACTCTTTCCGCGTCGGCATCGATGTCGTCGCGTAGATGGCGGCGAGCATGACCGCTAACCGCATGCTGAAACGTATATGGCCAGTGATATGGTGCCGGGCGGATAAGGTTTACTATGCTTTGCATGGCTTGGATTTAGTGGCGCAAGAAATGCATCGGTATCCTCTTGGTGCGTGGCACTATGTGCCCAATGATCACATGCTCCAATTAAAGCTCGATGAAAGGTCTTGAACGTTCGGGTAAAAAAAGATAAAGCATTTGCCGTTGATCAATCCCGTTTGGGATGCGGCACGCATTCTACTTCCATTTGTATTAGGTCGGTCCATAATTTTTGAGACACTTTACATGTATTGTTGTAAAAATCTTTTGATAAGTATTGAAGCTTTCCAAGATGTCCTGCAACCTAGCACACAAGCTCGCCTATCCGACAGGCTAGCCACCTCGTTTGCTTGTTACTTTCTTTAGCTAGGATTCCAATTTCTTTGAAACCTACTTCTGAGCCTCTTTCTTCATGACTTCAGATTAGGATCTTCCACGCGCCAAGCTATATGGAGGATTAACCAGAAGATAGTTGAGGGCACGCTCTCTCAATCCACGGTGCTCCGGTGGTTACCTCTACTCAGGGTTCCCTCCTTTTATTTGAAGATGATCCACACTCCAACCACCCGTGACTGGCAATCTCGATGCTCTATCCGGCGCCATTGAAAAGGAATCTGAACAAAGTGAGCGCTATTTGTCAGAGCGCTTTTGGTGTGACAAGGTGAGAGTACTGAGACATCTCGATAAAGTCGCTAAGGTTTGAAATATGGAGTTTGTCTCTCACATGCTCTGAGCCCGAATCAGACTCTCATCATGTTCCTGTTGGTTTCCCATAGTTCCTTCGAATGACCATCCATCATACTCATTGGTGATGTGGACTGGGTGCAGTGTGCTAACAAATCCACAAGCCGCAGTAGCTTAGCTTAAACGATTCGGGAGTTCTGACAGCAAAAACCCAACTCCCTCTGAATTCTATC